GTAGCTTGGAGGCCAAAGCAATTAGGTTGGAGGCCATCGCCAGTAGGTCGAAGTTGCAACTCAGTTCTCCTCCATGTTTAGCCAGTTTGCCTCTTTGTGTGGCCACGCGGTCATGCCAGACCATGCCAAGCGAGCCAGAATTTGTGCCTTATATAGACAGGGCGCTGGCAGTTGCGTTTTTTGGTCTATCACCTCGACCTGCCTTTCCAAAGCAGGATCAGGTTGCGCAAATTGTTCAGGTGGCATTTCAAAAGAATTTTTCGAACTTGTGCTTACAACTGGTGGCCTCCCATCGATCTGTCATCGCAGACTGAGTCCTGCCCGTTTCAATGGCAGCCACCTGTTGGTTCATGGAACAAGCTCCAAAAGAAACTCAAGGAGGGTTCAAAGATAGCCCGTCAGATGAGAACCGCCCTTGGTGCTACTTGATTGTCGTCGTCTTGGATCTCCTCCCTGTCTTCTTCTTCACGCTTTCTTCTCACTTTCAGGCCGTCTTCAGACTCTGACACTCAGCCCCTCTCCCGCCACCTGTGCCAGGGAGGGGCCTTTATGCAAGGAAAAGCCATCGCCAGTAGGTCGGAGGCCAAAGCAATTAGGTTGGAGGCCATCGCTAGTAGGTTGGAGGCCATCGCTATTCGATGTGAGGCCATCACTACTTGAATTAGAGGCCAAAGCAATTAGGTTGGAGGCCATCGCTATTCGATTGGGGGCCAGCGCTAGCAGGTTGGAGGCCATCGCTACTGGGTTGAAGGCCAAAGCAATTAGGTTGAAGGCCATGCTACTGGGTTGAAGGCCAAAGCAATTAGGTTGAAGGCCATCGCTGCTGGGTTAAAGCCCAAAGCAATTAGGTTGGAGGCCATCGCTACTGGGTTAGGCCAAAGCAATTAGGTTGAAGGCAAATGGTACTGGGTTGAAGGCCAAAGCAATTAGGTTGGAGCGCCATCGCTAGTAAGGTTGGAGGCCAAAGCAATTAGGTTGGAGGCCATCGCTAGTAGTAGGTTGTAGGCCGGGGCAGGTTGGAGGCCAAAGCAATTAGGTTGGACGCCATCGCTAGTAGGTTGGAGGCCAAAGCAATTAGGTTGGAGGCCATCGCCAGTAGGTTGGAGGCCAAAGCAATTAGGTTGGTAGTAGGTTGGAGGCCAAAGCAAACAGGCTGGGGGCCATCGCTAGTAGGTTGGAGGCCAAAGCAACTAGCCTTCGTCTTTGACCAAGCCATGACGGCTTGAACCGCTACGGTGCGTTGAAACTTTGCGGTGCTCGCGTTGCATTGCTTGTCGGATCAAGGTGATCCTTACATTGTGTTGCTACAGGTTGCATACATTGTTGGCTCTTGAGGTTGCCACTACAGGTTCCAGGACTAGCCACTTTCTACTTGAGGCTACCCTGCTACCGACACTGGTAGCGGAGCTTCGGTCTTCGGACTGAAGCTCTGTTGCCAGGGTCGGTGGCCAACGAGGAGGAGGACGCGCTTGCAGAGCAACGTTGAATTCTTCTTGAGTTGCCCACTTGACTGGCCCCACCGGAGATCGAACATCGATCATTGGCCTTTCAGGTGAAGGTACATTGGCCCTGACCATACACTCCTTTTCCTTGCCTTTGACCTGACGGACTGTTGAACTTGTTGTGCATTGAGTGACAGCTACAATGGTGGAGAGAAAAGAGCAAGTTGCCACGTGGAACGGTGACCCTACCACCTGGCTCGAGTATGTGAAGAGAGTCCGTTTGCAGTTTGAGCGGACTGAGAAGAAGAAGAAGAAGCAGAAGAAGAGAAGCTTGTTGGGTGCTGAGCTGGCATCGAGGTTGACTGGTCGTGCATGGGACATTGTTAGCGCTGAGGTGGATCACTCGCAGTTACAGAAGCGTGATGGTGCTGCCTATCTCCTTCGGTTTTTGGAGGAGCGGTTGTGCAAGGCCCCTGTTCCAGACACTGGTCAACGACTTGAAGACTTCTTCCTCCGCTTTCGGAGGAGCCCTGGAGAATGGGCCACACAGGTCCGAGAGAGCTACAGAAGGCTTCAACGAGCCATGGCAAGGCAGAGGAAAGACCTGGCCGACCGAGATGGTCACGGGAGGGAGCGCACCACTTCGAATACTCTCTCCAATCCAGGTCGTCGCAAATCAGACCTCACTTCGCCAAAGGCACCAACACCTTCGAGTGGAAGCGCGAACCCCGGATTTCCGGCCACTGACGAGGAGGATGATCCAGTGATTGAGTGGGAGCAGTTTGACCTTGGCTCCGAGCGCATCTTACCGGATGAGATCCTTGGTTGGATCCTTTTGCGCAGGAGCGGACTTCCAGCAAATGCTCGCTTGTCAGTGTTGAGTGCAACCAACAATCGCTTGGACCTTGCTTCAATGGAGCGTGCAATGCGTGATCAGGAAGAAGAGTTGTTGGCCGCGGAATCTCATCGCAGTCGGGGTGAGATTCCTCGACCACGTCGTTCCTTTGGGTTGAAGAGGACTCCCAATGGGGTTTGTTGTCAGAGCTTGATCTAGAAGAGGTGGATGACACACAAGTGTTTTGGGTTGGAGACCGACTTCCCCCTGATGTTTACAATGTTGCTGGTGAGGACAGTGTTGCTTGGTCGACTTGGCTGCCTGACGGCCAAGAGTTGAGTTGGGAATGGCATGATGACGATTTTTACGCTGCCGATGCTGCAGGTGTTTTCTGGTCATGGTCGGAGACCAAAACCTGGCTGGACATGTGTGATGCACCAACATCTGACAGTGATCCGCTGCAAGAGGCCTACGCCTCGTCCCAAGATCGTTTTCGCACCTTCAAGGAGAGCCGTGCCCTCAATTCAGCCAAGCATTTGTCTCGTGGTTTTTATCCCCTCAACCAGATGAAAGGGAAGTTCATGCAATCCAAAGGAAAGAGTAAGGGTAAGGGTGGTAAGTCCAAATCACCCCCCCCAAAGTTCTTTGGCAACAAGCGCCGCTGCCCTCTACACTGGAGGGTCAAGGGGAGCTCCTTCTGGTCAGAAGCCTGGCAGTCCGACCTACAAGGGATGCTTTGTTTGTGGGTCGCAGGACCATGACTTCAGGCGCTGCCCAAAGCGACAGAGTTCCTCTTCAGCTGCGCCTGCTAGGTCCCTCTACTCGGCCTCGGTCTACATGGTGACTTCGGCGGAAAGTGACGACGTAGCTGACCTGACATGTCCGAGCGGTGAAGTACTTGCCACTTTGGCTGCAGAGTTCCCCGGTCCTGCTGTGCTGGACTCCGGCGCGACAGAATCCATTGCCAGTTTAGAGGCAATGCATGAGGTGATGGAGCTTCGAATGAGGGTTCATGGGCCTGAGCAGTTTGTCGTGCATGAACGGCAGAAGCGCTTTCGCTTCGGGAACGGAAGCGTTCAGAATGCAGTTTCTTTTGTGGAGTTGCCACAAACTGT